GATTTGAATATACAGTAAATAAATTGAAGCCAAACTTCAGCTCACAATTGTCCTCCTTTCTGCTGTCAACTGCCGAGAGGGGGGCAGAGACTAGCATCTCCTTGGCTGCACGGAGAAGCACAGGATCTGGTGGAGTTCTGTCCTCCTCCCTGCTGCCAACTGCTGTGACAAGGTGAGGGCAGAGATAAGGGGGTGCCGCAACTGCAAGAGTGTCGTGAGGGCCACATGAAATGGCATGGCGGCGGGCCGGATTCAGTCCACGGGCCTTGTGTTTGACATGCATGCCTTTTACCATTGCTGGCTTTTTAACCCAATTAATGTAAAGCAAACCTTTACAGCTAAATAGGCCTTTTATCTTTTTATACAGCAAAGACATGCTTTACAAGGGGAAAAGTGTTAACCCTTTGAGGACCAAGGGATGTATTTGTCCCATGTTTTTAATTGTGTGTATCATCTGATTAGGAACTTAAAACTCTTTTTTTTTTGGTTTGAGTCAAAATATTATTTCTTATCAACAAACAACAAATGGATCTAGCTTTTTGCCAATTATTTCATGAAATGGCTCAGTTACAGCAACTGAAGTGTACGAACTTTAAAAACAAAAAAAATGTATTCTTTTGGCGTTCCAAAATCTTACCGTCTTCAAAGGGTTAACAGCAAAATACAGAAGAAAAAAAAATTACAGCTTGATACATGTAGCTACAGTGAAAAATGTAATATTGCAATTAGGATTTACCATTATTTTAATCTCTCATACCCAGCAGCATATACATTTCTTCCCTCCCCCGCTGTTCTGTTCTAAGGCAGGAGGTGAAGGAAATACTCTGTACTCCCGTGTATGGATAAGCATGTGGTAGAGCTGGGCCAATCAACACCATCCTACAGGGATGGTGGTGTTGGAGTCATGGAATTTAGCTCTCCATGAAGTTCCATAGGCAAGAGACCGGGACAATTTTCTTTATAAGAGGGTAAGAGGGGAAGGGGGGGTAAAGAGGTTCTCCGAAGCAAAGGTTGTAGTGTACAGGGCCAAGGAAATAAAGTAGGATAGAATAAGAATAGGAGCTATAAACTCACCGGCCACTTTATTAGGTACACCTGTTCAATTTCTTGGTAACACAATTTGCTAATCAGCCAATCAATGCGGCAGCAACTCATGTAGGCAACGTGGTGAAGACAACGTGGTGAAGTTCAACCCGAGCATCAGAATGGGGATGAAAGGTGATTTAAGTGACTCTGAACATGGCATGGTTGTTGGTGCCAGACGAGCTGGTCTGAGTATTTCAAACACTGCTGATCTACTGGGATTTTCACACATACCCATCTCTAGGGTTTACAGAGAATGGCCCGAAAAAGAGAAAATATCCAGTGAGTGACAGTTGGGTGGATGAAAATGCCTTGTTGATGTCAGAGGAGAATGGGAAGACTGGTTGCTGCAACATTCAGATAGTAGGGGCAGAATTTGGCGTAAACACCATAAAAGAATGGCTTCATCCTGCCTTGCATCAGCGGTTCAGGCTGGTGATGGTTAATGATGTGGGAGATATTTTCTCAGCACTAGCAAGGTGTACCTAATAAAGTGGCTAGTGAGTGTAAATAGGTTGGGGGATGGGCTTGTGGGGGAGTAGTAGGGTGAGATTAGTAGGGAAAGGACGGGAGAAATCTGAGAAAAAGGTATGGAGACAACACAGTAGACAAGGCAAAGAATAAAGATGGGGAAACAGGGTTCTTTTGGGCTCATGGGAGTGGAGCAGACTGGAGTTAGAGGCAAAACTGTTATGTCCAAAACAATCTGTCTGAAAAGAGGAAGCCATTCCAATAGAACCACATTTTACTGAATGCTTCATGCTTGATTTGTGAGGACAAGACAAGGTCCTCCATCTTCCCTATCTTCTCCACCTTTATATCCACATGGGAGGTCGATGGTGGACAAAAGGTCTTTCCACTGTAGTGGAAGGCTTTGGCAGCTGTAAGATGTCGCAAAATGGACTTGCAAGAATCGGTTTCTGAAATGTGGGAGTTATGCAGAAAAAAAAAAAAGGAGTTTGAAATCTTAAAAATTTCTGCAAGATTGTTTTCACTCGTACCAGAAAGCAGGCAAGGCCAAAGAAAAATAATCCCTTGCGTGTTTTGACATCTCTAGAACTGGTTGGAGCTGTTAGAATAAAATTTATGTAGAACTGATGGCGTTCTGTACATTTAGTGTTACGACTTAAGGATCTGCTCCAACCAGGAGGTGGAGTGGCTAGCCAGAACCTAGTATAGATGATGGTCAGAGGGAGGAGAAAGCCGCAGAGTGGATACAGAGGACTTTGCTGGCCACTCGCTTAGAAGATGTGAGTGCACTGAAAAGGACCAAGGCACAGAGTCTAAGATACCACCTGGTCTTCACCAGAGGTCTTAGTGGCAGAGATGTTGTGCTGCAGTCAATAGACCAGTTGCAATCCTCCAGCTCACCCGTGCAGGCTGAAACTAAAAGCTGGTGAGACTTTCTTGAAATGCTGGGGCACTGGAGGTACAAGACAGCAGGATACACAAGGAACAACCAGGACACAGAAATACACTAATGCCCCGTACACACGATAAGAAAATCGTCCGAAAAATTTCACAGAACCACGGATTTTCTCTTTTTTGATGAGCAGGATGTTTTAACCGATAAGGATATTGCGAGCGAAAAAATCTGGTTGAACAACAGTGAAAAATTTTTGCCGTTTCGCATAGGAACGACCGATTTTCTTTCGGTGGTATGACGGTCGTACGAAAAAAAAAAAATCTATCAAGCGCTATCACGCATGAGCGGAAACAGAAGATGACCCGGATGTTTATGTCCAAGGAATCTTCATAAACACGAACGAAAAATCCAAATGTTAAAAGTAGATTGGCCTAATGAGATAATGAAAGCAGAATTCGGATACCCAAATACCACCCAACCCGTAATCTTCGCTCCTCACAAGACCTCCTACTTTCTAGCTCCCTGGTTTCCACCTCCCACGCCCGACTGCAGGACTTCTCCAGGACTTCCCCCATCCTCTGGAACTCACTACCCCAATCCATCAGACTGTCACCTACCCTCCTCACCTTTAGGCGCACCCTGAAAACCCATCTCTTCAGGGAAGCCTACCCCACCCTCACCTAACAGCCGATCTCCTCCACTCCTCCTACCACTTCATCCCCCGCACAGCCACTTCCTCCTGTACCACGTTCCCCTCCCTCCTAGATTGTAAGCTCAAAAGAGCAGGGCCCTCGAACCCTCGTGTATTGTATTGTTACTGTATTGTCCCATGTACTGTCCCTCACTATAATGTACAGCGCTGAGCAAACCTTTCTGGCGCTAAATACTGTATAATAATAATAATATAGGTCATGTAATAAACTATATTATACTCATTCCTGGTAATTGTGTATATCGCTCGTTCTAGGAGTAAGTGCGTGGCTACAAGGTCACACGCACACTGCATCACTTCCACTTGTACGGAAGACGTCAACACTATGTATTGCCCGACAAACCACTTTTTTAGATTGGTTAATGTGGGCTACGATTTCGACGAACGAACGCCTCTTGGTCATCGGATGACCGATCAGTCGAATTTCTAACCGTGTATTCCCACCTTAAGGCAGTCCATACATTCAACCAGCAGGTTGAACGGTAAAAAAAAAAGATTTGATTCTTCCATCTACACATTAGAGGTGTATGGGGGAATCCTCCCACTGTGCTATTTTGTTCTGATGACATGGAGCCTTCAACTTGCCATAAAAATACAATGATCACTGCTGCTGGCTATAGCTGGCGGCACTGATCAATCTGGTAAAACCCAACAAGGTGGTTGTACAGAAATCGATTGGTAGATTGACTTCTATACAACCAGGGTGCCCATACATGGATCGAAATTCGGATGGTTCCTGCTGAACTGTCTGAATTTTCGATCCATGTATGGCTGGCTTTAGCGGTAAATGAGATACTCAGACTGGGGGGTGCACAGCTGCAAATAACAAGGCTGACTGGAACACACTGTGAAACATGCTGGTGCAAAGGAACAAGCAAACCGAGTGCAAGGAAAGGTACAAAAGGTGAAGGAAGAGGGAGTGCTGGTAGGAGCGTACAAGGTGACAAAGCAGGATATAGACAGAGGGGAAAATAAGGCCTAAAATGAAGTAGGAAGACATTAGAAGCAAGGCAGGGAACAAGCTGGGAGGAATACAAACACTGGAGAACAGAAGAGGCGCAGAGACTAGTAGCACAAGGATCACGGAGAAAAAAAAAACTGAGAACGCTTGGGGGGGGGGGGGGGGGGGGGGGGGGGTGGGGGGGGGGGGGGGGGGTGGTGTGGGGGGGGTGGGGGTGGGGGAGACTGGCTTCTAGCATGTAGACTTGCTGCTTGAATTTTGAGCATTCCACACATTAACCTTTAAAACACCCCCCTCTGTGATTGGCTGGAAGCCAGAAGCTGCACAAAGAGTAAAAGAGCCGGCATTGGGGCCTGGAAAAGGAGCATGACATCTGGTCAAGATATTAAAGTTGGTTTTGTGTCTCCTGGAGTGTGGTGCAGATCGATAAAACTAGTGTGGGGATTTTTATTACCGATAATACAGGTATGATAAACATGCACTAATGTGATAGAATAGATGGCAGCTACCATTTTATTCTCCAGGGTCTCTGCTTTTCAAAAAAATATATAATATTGGGGGTTTTAACTACCGTATTTTTCACTCCATAAGACGCTTTTTTTTTCCCCCAAAAAAATGGGGGACAATGTCTGTGCGTCTTATGAAGCGAATATGGAGAGGCCAGCCCGGTATTCCCGCCACTGCGTTAGAATACCGGGCTGGCTGCTCAGCAGCAGAACCTGCTCCTCGGTCCTGTTTCTCGGTCCAGCGGTGTCCTCACCGTCTTCTCTCCCTGGCACCGCAATCTTTAGTGTGGATACCCGGCTGTGACAGCTTGCGGCTTCACAGCCGGGTGCCCACAGCGCATGCGTGAGAAGTGCTGTGCTTTGTGAATGGTCCAGCAGTCTTCTGGGATCTGTCATGTGTTTCAGAAGACTGGGAGGGAGGATAACTCCACAGAAGTGGGAGCGGGTTCCCGCTCCCCAAAGGTCCACAGTCTCCGGTCATCTCCTGTAGTACGTCCGCAGTCTCCGGTCATCTCCTGTACTGTGTCCGCAGTCTCCGGTCATCTCCTGTACTGTGTCCGCAGTCTCCGGTCATCTCCTGTACTGTGTCCGCAGTCTCCGGTCATCTCCTGTACTGTGTCCGCAGTCTCCGGTCATCTCCTGTACTGTGTCAGCAGTCTCCGGTCATCTCCTGTACTGTGTCCGCAGTCTCCGGTCATCTCCTGTACTGTGTCCGCAGTCTCCGGTCATCTCCTGTACTATGTCCGCAGTCTCCGGTCATCTCCTGTACTGTGTCCGCAGTCTCCGGTCATCTCCTGTACCGTGTCCGCAGTCTCTGGTCATCCCCTGTACTGTGTCCGCAGTCTCCGGTCATCTCCTGTACTGTGTCCGCAGTCTCCGGTCATCTCCTGTACTGTGTCCGCAGTCTCCGGTCATCTCCTGTACTGTGTCTGCAGTCTCTGGTCATCTCCTGTACTATGTCTACAGTCTCCGGTCATCTCCTGTACTGTGTCTGCAGTCTCCGGTCATCTCCTGTACTATGTCCGCAGTCTCTGGTCATCCCCTGTGCTGTGTCCGCGGTCTCTGGTCATCTCCTGTACTGTGTCCTGCGGTCTCTGGTCATCTCCTGTACTATGTCCGCGGTCTCTGGTCATCTCCTGTACTGTGTCCGCAGTCTCTGGTAATCTCCTGTACTGTGTCCGCAGTCTCTGGTCATCCCCTGTACTATGTCCGCAGTCTCTGGTCATCTCCTGCACTGTGTCCGCGGTCTCTGGTCATCTCCTGTACTATGTCTGCAGTCCATTGGTTCAGAATATTTTTTTCTTGGTTTCCTCCTCTAAAACCTAGGTGAGTCTTATGGCCAGGTGCACCTTATGGAGCGAAAAATATAGTAACCTTCCCGCCTAAAATGTGCATTTTATCATATGTGCAAAAACCCTAAAGAATGTCCCTGGTAGACAAGTAGTTAAAGAATTTGAAATATTGTAGAATAACCTTAAAGATGATTGACGCATCTGAAACCTAAAAGAGCGCGGGATTTCCATTAGTCCTCTACCAATCTTCAGCGACTGTCAAAAGGGAAGATGTAATGACAACCACTCATCATGCAAAAATAAATAAATATGCCCAAACTTATTTTCATTGAAATATTCCAGTTATTACACATTTTATGAGCCCACTTTGCACAATCAGCACTTTGTATTGTGCGACATCTCTGGCCTGCCATTTACAAACCCCCCGCGGTGCCCGCAATGAAAAGCGATTTCAGCCCATTGCATAGGAATAACTCAGGCCAACCCACCACGCCGCTTGGGGAAGAGCAGCATGCTGCCAATTTCATGCACCCATTCCGGCAAGGCGCGGCGTGGCCTCGGTCGATCGGCAGGGAGGCTGAATAATTGCACGCACTGAAAACTTTTATCTGTGTCTATAAATATATACGAGGATGCGCTGCTCTCTAGAGGAGACACCTGCATTTCCAGCCACACATCATTAACAGTGGTGAGGCTCGTTCTTCTACAGCGTGACGCGGCCGTGGCGCGGGTGTAAAAGATGATAATTTGAGGAGAATGGGCATGTTCCGGAAGAAGGCAGTCATTATTTTCTTGCAGGTGAATATACGGGGCCGATGCCGTTCCCCTATAGAAATCCCAAAGGTGCTCGTAGTGTTTTTTCTGAACGTTTGTGTGGGGCCTAATTAGAAGCCTGGCTTCGATCCTCACAGTCACACATATTGATTACAGCAAGCTCAGAAATAACTACAAACGTGCAGCCAGCATTGGCTCGGGTTACAGGAAAAACTCTGGAATAGTTTTAAGAGAGTATATGATGTATTTTGAGATGTTATGGCACCTTCATGTAGTTGGTGTTTCATGTGTATTGTGTTTAAAGTTCTTTTTTTTTTGCTGTTCCATATTTTCAGGACTGTATGTAACCACTTCAACACTGAATACTTTTACCCCCTTCCTGCCAAGGCCAATTTTCAGTTTTCAGCGCTGTCCCCCTTTGAATTGCAACTACACTGTACCCAAATTAAATTTTTATCTTTTTTTTTTTTCTGAGACAAAGCTTTCTTTTCATGATATTTAATCACCACTGGGTTTTTTATTTTTATGCTATATAAATTAAAAAAATACCAAAAAAATTTTAACCACTTCAGCTCCAGAGGATTTACCCCCCTTAATGACCAGGCCTCTTTTTGCTACTCGGCGCTGCACTAATTCAATTGATAATTGCGCGGTCATGCAATGCTGCACCCAAACAAAATTTACATCCTTTTTTTCACCCAAATAAAGCTTTCTTTCGGTGTAATTTGATCACCTGTGCGCTTTTTATTTTTCACGCTATAAACAAAAAAAGGCCAAAAATTTTGAAGAAAAACAATATTTTTTACTTTCAGCTATAAAAAAATATAATAAATATAAACTCAAAGTTGGTTATAAATTTAGGCCAAAATGTATTCTGCTCCATGTTTTTGGTAAAAAAAATCCCAATAAGTGTATATTGATTGCTTTGTGTGGAAGTTATAGCGTCTACAAACTATGGTATAGATACTGCAATTTACGCCATTTTTCTGCTATACAGCACTGCGCTAGTTTAACGGACAATTGCGCGGTCATGTAATACGGTACATAAATGAAATTTACATCCTTTTTTTCCCCACAAATTGAGCTTTCTTTCGGTGGTATTTGATCGCCTGTGCTGACAATTTTGAGGGAAAAAAAACAATATTTTTGGACTTTTTGCTATAAAACATGTCCAGTAAAAAAAAAAAAAAATGCAAAAATCAAATTTAGTCATAATTTTCTGCCAAAATGCATTCCGGGACATGTCTTTGCTAAAAAAAAATCCCAATACGTGTAAATTAATTGGTTTACGTGAAAGTTATAGCGTTTACAAATGGCGGGAAAGATACTGGGATTTTTAATTTTTATTTATACTAATAATGGCGCTGATCAGCGACATATGACGGCAACCAGCGACTTATGGCGGGACTGCGGCGGACGTTTTGACACTGGGGGGAGCTGACTTGGGGTCACTGGCATCCCCAGTGACACCAATACAGTGATCAGTGAAAAAAAAACACTGAAAATGTACTGTCACTGGGGAGGAAGGGGTTAACATTTTTAGAATTTTCAGTGTCAGGGGAGTGTTTTACTAGGGGGCGAGGGTGTGTACTGGACAGGGGGGAGGGAGGGGGGAGATAATCGAGGGAGAGAAACTGTTCTCTCCCTCTTCAGCTTGGTGGCGAACTGTCACAGAGCAGGGCTGTGTGTAAACAATGCAGCCCTGCTCTGTGTCAGTGTTCACCGCTCATCGCGGGAAAATGGCCGGTAAAAACCGGCCGTGACCCGGCGGCGGAGACCCGCTGCTGACACCCGCGGGACAGGTAGGGCGGGCGCGCGCGCCCCCTACCCATTTTGTAGGCATACATTTTAAAACGTGCTTTTGCCCACGAGCGCCGCCCTGCCACAGTTTATATGCGGTGGCTGGGCGGCAAGTGGTTAAACAAATACGTCTATTTCCCAAAGACAACCTCTGGATATGACGCTGAGCACGTGCACTCAACTTCTTTGGTCGACCATGGCAAGGTCTGTTCTGAGTGGAACCTGCCCTGTTAAACCGCTGTATGGTCTTGGCCACCGTGCTGCAGCTCAGTTTCAGGGTCTTGGCAATCTTCTGATAGCCTAGGCCATCTATAGAGAAACAATAATTTTTTTCATATCTTCAGAGTTCTTTGCCATGAGGTGCCATGTTGAACTTCCAGTGACCAGTATGAGAGAGTGAGAGCGATAACACCAAATTTAACACACCTGCTCCCCATTCACACCTGACACCTTGCAACACTAAGGAGTCACATGACACCGGGGAGGGAAAATGGTTAATTGGGCCCAATTTGGACCTTGTCACTTAAGGGTGTACTCACTTTTGCTGCCAGCGGTTTAGACATTAATGGCTGTGTGTTGAGTTATTTTGAGGGGACAGCAAATTTACATGTTATACAAGCTGTACACTCACTACGTCACATTGTAACAAAGTGTCATTTCTTCAGTGTTGTCACATGAAAAGAAAAAAAATGTGAGGGATGTACTCCCTTCTGTTTTTAAAAGTCCCTGACATTCCTAATATCACCTCCGATATAAATACAGTTTTGTTTAAAAATTTATTTATTTATTTTTTAATCTGGACAAGAAGATAGGAGGGCACCAATTTAGTCAATGGAAAAGTAGTTTTTTCAAAAATTTCCACACCCCTGATTCTACACTGTCACTGTACTAATGGCAGTGGCTGGAAAGGGGTTAACATCTACGTCGATCAAAGGGGTAAAGTGTGCCTAAATACAGTATGTGTAATGTGTGTGCCGATTTTACGAAACAATCTCGCTCCCTCTGTATAGAGCCCTGTATTGTTTACCAACACAGAGCTCTGGGCTGTGACTGTACACAACTAATCAGCAGGACCTGGCTGTGAATCATTGGAAGTAGGCAGCGACGTACTCGTTTGTTGCTCTGCCTACAGCGATCACCTGTCCACAGTGCACTGCGGGAGGGTGGGTGGTCATGAAGAGGTTAAAACCACATTGAGTTGGCCCCGCCCCTTTGCAGCTATAACAGCTTCAACTCTTCTGAAAAGGCCATCCACAAGGTTTAGGAGGGTGTCTATGGGAAGGTTGGACCATTCTTCCAGAAGCACATTTATGAGGTCAGGCACTGATGTCGGGGGAGGAGGCCTGGCTCGCAGTCTCTGCTCTAATTCATCCCAAAGGTGTTCTATGGGGTTGAGGTCAGGACTCTGTGCAGGCCAGTCAAGTTCCTCTACCCCAAACTCGATCATCCATGTCTTTATGGACCTTGCTTTGTGCACTGGTGTGCAGTCATGTTGGACCTGGAAGGGGCCATCTCCAAACTGTTCCCACAAAGTTGGGAGCATGAAATTGTCTAAAATGTCTTGGTATGCTGATGCCTTAAGAGTTCCCTTCACTGGAACTAGGGGGCCAAGCCCAACCCCTGAAAAACAACCCCCCATCATAATCCCCCCTCAACCAAACTTTACACTTGGCACAATGCAGTCAGGCGAGTACTGTTCACATAGAAACTGCCAAACCCATTCATTGGATTGCTAGACAGAGAAGCGTGATTGACCACTCCAGAGAAACACGTCTCCACTGCTCTAGAGTCCAGTGGCGTCTTGCTTTACACCACTGCATCCGACGCTTTGCATTGCACTTGGTGATATATGGCTTGGATGCAGCTGCTCGGCCATGGAAACCCATTCCATGAAGCTCTCTACACACTGTTGTGCTAATCTGAAGGCCACATGAAGTTTGGAGGTCTTTAGCTATTGACTCTGCAGACAGTTGGCGACTTCTGCGCACTGTGCGCTTCAGCATGCGCTGACCCCGCACTGTCATGTGACGTGGCCTACCACTTGGTGGCTGAGTTGCTGTTGTTCCCCAGTTGCTTCCACTTTGTTATAATCCCACTAACAGTTGAGCGTGGAATATTTAGTAGCCAGGAAATGTCACGGATGGACTTATTGCACAGGTGGCAACCTATCACGGGACC